GCTAGGCTGGCTCCGAGGCAGGACGGAGGAGAGCTGAGGAGACTGAGGTCTGAATGTATCATGTTTTCCACTACAAAGTGCCAAGGCAGCTGGTTGGGAGCCATGAGGCCGCCTGTCCCCCTGTCCTGGGGAAACCAAAATATGAGAAGCTTGCTGGAGTCCCTCTCCTGTAGCACCCACCACCTCTGGCAGATAGTTTGGAAAGAGGGGCAAGACATCCTCTCCAGGCTGAGATGAGGTCCAGGTGGAATTAGGCTGGGAATACTGAACCAAAGCCCGCCTAGCCCGGCGCTGTTCGCATCTGGGTAACGGCCCCCACCTCTGGCCTGTTAGCCAAGCACATTCCCTACATAATTCTGGCTCCCCTGGTGAAGGATGCTGGAGGATGGCTCCAGTGCAGCTGACATCCTCGCACTTTAGAGACCTTCAGATCTCCAAATGCCCCTGCATGTGCCCATTCTTAGAGACAGTCAGCAGCAAGGCCTGGATGGCAGAAAGAGGTCATTTCTTCCAACCCTTTGCCTCTGATCCAGACATGCTTTCCCTTCCCGTATGAAAAAGACCAAGTGAAAAGGTTTTCTGTCTTTCCTTCTTCTGTACATTTCTTGATAAAGAGGCCAGCACAGTGCTGGCAAAGAAATACTTGGCGCTGTGTGCTGGAAGAGTTGTGTTCCACTCTTTTGTTTCTGTGGTTGTTGTGGTGATACAGGGTCTCACTTGGTTGCCCGGGCTGGCATGCAGTGGCATAATCTTGGCTCACTGCAACCTCTGCCTCCCGGGTTCAACCAGTCCTCCCACCTCAGCCCCCTGAGTAACTGGGGTTACAGGTGTGTGCCACCATGCCTGGATAATTTTTGTATATTTAGTAGAGACAGGGTTTCGCCATGTTGGCCAGGCTGGTCTCGAACTTCAAGTGATCTGCCCACCTCAGCCTCGCAAAGTGCTGTGATTACAGGCATGAGCCACTGCACCCAGCCTTGCTTCATCTCTTTTATTAAGTGTCTACTGCATGCACTAGATACAAGATCTTCTTGAATTCATCCAACCACCATGGCGGGCGGTGGGGGGCTGTCATCATCATCCTCTTGTATAGATGAGAATACCAAGGCTCCAAGAGTAGAAAGCAGCCTATTCTCATTTAACTGGTGCAAAGACTATTCAACCAAAAGGATTCCAAGAAGTTCAGAGATAAAGTACACGCACGTTAGTCAATTCTTGTTGCTTAAGAAGATCCCCAAATCTCCATGACCTGTAACAACACATGTACATTTTCTTCCTCGGACCTCTGCAGGTCAGCTAGGGGTTCTCTGCTTCAGGCTGCAGGCGAGCTCAGGTTTGCTCTGTGGGTCATGGCTCAAGGCAGAAACCAAGGTCAAGTGGAAATCTGTGTTTCCTCATGAAACCTCTACTCAGAACTGGCAACTGGTCATTTCTTCATCCTCCACTGGTCAAATCGAGTCACAGGCCCGAATCCACCATCACTGGGTCAGAGAGATATTATTCTCTGTTCATAGTGGGAGGCCCCACAGCCCTGCAGCCAAGGGCGTGAATGTCTAATTCTGATACGGGGAGTGAGTAAGAATTGGAGACTGTGATCTAATCTACGGCAGCGCAGTTCCAGGGCTGGCTAATTAATTTTGTGACTTAGCAAAGACTCTCCTCAGGCTCCAAGGTGGCTGCCACAGCTCTGACCCAATCTCTGGCCACTCACACGCTATGCTGGGATGTGGTGATAGCATGACCAACCTTCCTGGTTTACTCAGGACTGAGGGGTTTCCCAGTGCTAAAACCGGGAAAGTCTGGGCAAATCAGGATGTGTTGGCCATCTGACACATGTAGCAGATTGTTCTTGAATATTTTGGGGGTAAATGGGGCAACGTGTGTGTGTGAGTAGTGTATATGTGTGTGTATGAGTGAGTATGTATATGATTGTATGTGTGGTGTTATTCCACAGCCCAGGAGAGCAAACAACTAAGCACTCAGTATGACACATCACCAATAGAAATGGTCATTTATCAATTTATCGGCTCCTCAGTCCACAGGGACGTCACACTGGCTGATTTTGTAAACAGGTTCCCAATCTGCCCTCAAGTCAGCCTGGTCTTTGCGTCCTCTTTCAGGCTTCCCCCTAAACCTCTGTTGTCCTTCCCTAATTCTACAGAGCAATTTTGTTCAACATCCAAACTCCAAACTTATTTTGCATACCCCAAATGTTTAAACCACTTGGCCTTGGCACAACTAGACTCCAGGGCTAAAAATCAGGGGACATGTGTGTGTTGTTGGTCTGTGCAGTATTTTAAAATAATCTGAGCCATTATTTCTGGCTTCTCCTGAATCTGGAGATCTGGCCACACTGGGCATGTATTTCTACATGGCTTTAGCTGGCTGGAACTGATAGAAGCTGCTTCCTTCTGGATGGGGCAGCCCTCTCTAGTTTTCCACGGTTGCCATCCTTCCCTGTTGCCTTCCTGATGTGACCTGCTCACTTCATTCATTTGCAGTACCTGCTTGAAGACTTGAGTTTACCACTCTCTCTTTAGCAGCACGAAGAAGACACCAGAAACGTTGCAGTTTGGGTCTGTCCTTCCCCTCCACCTCTCAACCTCTCTTAGCTTCTATAAGCAGAAGAATTTATTGTTATATTGTTCCAATTTTAGATGGCAGCTGTGCTTCCTTCCATGGCTGTAGCAGTCATGAAAACACACCTCTCAGACCTCCAGTGGGGGAGCCTGATTGATAGATAAGCCATGCTTTCCAGGGTTTGCTCCCAGCCATAGGGGGGCAGGCTTGGTCTTGGGAGACACAGGGCTCCTCAGGAGGCTCAAGGACAACCTGTTAGCCTTACATTTTCTTTTCTTTTCAAGACAAAGTGTCGCTCTGTCACCCAGGCTGAAGTGCAGTGGCACAGTCTCCACTCACTGCAACCTCCGCCTCCCGGGTTCAAGAGATTCTTCCACCTCGGCCTCCCAAGTAGCTGGGATTACAGGCGCCCACCATCACGTCCAGCTAATTTTTTGTATTTTTAGTAGAGATGGGGTTTCACCATGTTGGCCAGGCTGGTCTTGAACTTCTGACCTCAAATGATCCACCTGCCTCAGCCTCCCAAAGTGCTAGATTACAGGCATGAGCCACCACACCCAACCAGCCTTGAACTTTCTAAGAATGCACTGCAGCCCACGGTCCCTTCTTTCCTCTGTCCCTTCCTCCCATTCTTCCTCCTTCTTTCTGTCCCTTTCTCCCAGCCCCCTCTGGCTCCCTCTTCATTTTACTCCCTGACACTTCCTCAATAAGCCTTTAGTATGTCTCATCTCACCTTGGCTCTCATGGAGGACCTACCCACAACAGATTTGGAAAAACCAAAAGGAAGAGAAAGAGAAGGCTTCCAGGCAGGTCAACAGCACTAGCAAAGGTATGGAGGTAGGAAGGACCAGGGTGTGTTTGCAGCACCAGCAAGTAAGTTAGCTTGTCCTAAGAAGACATCAAATTCCCATGCTCTAGCTTATCAAAGAAAGTACTATGTGACCTTTGGTGAACTGACTCCTTCTGGAGCTCCATTTCACCATCTGTGAATTCGAAATAATAATAGTACCCATTTTATAGGGTCTTTGTGGGGATTAAATAAAATTGTTATGAAAAAGTGTTTCAAATGGCATAAATTACCAACTACAGTTAGAGCTATTGTTACAAAAAATATATATTTAAAACAGCCCCTCTCTGTTGGGACTGATTTTTAGCCCCGAAGAAGGAAATATACATACTATTTTCCTTTTCTGACACAGTTTATTTGTAGTCTTTAGGATGCAGACATGAATCAGACCAGATCCTTGGAAGAGAGAAAGCAGGGGTGTAGGGCAGAAGAGTTCACTTTCCCAGGCAAAATTCTGCTGATTAGCCTGCTAATGAGCAGTACCCTTTCTGCAGAAAGTAAAATTGCCTTGCCAAGAGATCCTTTGTCTCAGTGCTGATTTTTCTTTGCAGGACCAAGCATCTGTTTCCAATACCTGTGTTCTAATTGGGTTGGGAGTTGACCTTTTCCTCACAATCCCACAGTGGCCAGGGAAGAGAGCAGAGGCTTGGTGGAGTGGGAGAGTTGCCCGCCTGTTCCTCCAAGATGCCATAGCCAGAGGCTTGGAAGTTCCAATAGCCTGATAAACAGAAAGCCTGCATAGTAAGAAAAGTAAAAATAATAAGACGAAGCAACATTTTTGAATTCGCACATGGGCCAGTCCTGCAGAGGTGCTTCAGATGCCTTATCGCCTCGTTTGGTCCTCCCCTCAGCCATACCTAGAAGGCCACCTCAGTTGGGAATGTCTTTGGCTGCAAGTAATAGAAAAACCTGACTCATGGTGTCTTAGCACAGACATGTGGTTAGCTCATTAAATGAGAGGTCTCTAGGTGGGTGGTTCCAAGGATGGTGATTCTGCAGCTCTGGTTCGGGGTCTGCAGTTCTCCTGGCCTCTCATAACACTACAAACTCCCACACCTCCCCCACCAATCACATTCTCACACAATGGCCCCCAAAGCAAAAGAGAAGGCAAATCAGAAGGAAACACTTTTTTCTAAAAGCCCCCAACAGATGTCCAGAAGATGCCCACCTCCAGACAAATTGCTAGCAAAGATGGATTTCCTGGACCGGCTCAGACTCATGGCAGGTCATTCTCTGGGAAGAGGGCCACCACCTTACACACCTGCCAAATCCTGAACAAATCCAGGAAGAGCCAGAGGCTGACTTTCATCTCTCTGGTGTGTGAGCAGCTGCATCTCCCTCCCTGGGAAAATTTTGTCTATAAATTGAGAAGGGAAGAGAATACTTGGGAGAGAATTTTGTACTGAGGTGATGCTGGTCTGCACTGAAGCCAGGGGTGGGGAGTAGAAGAGCTAATATTTATTGAGCACCTATTTTATACCAGACCCTGTGCTGGGTGATTTCATTCTCTTGTCATTTAATTCAGTTCTCACAGCAGTCCCATGAAGAAGGAACTGTTCTTCCCATTTTTCAGGTAAGAAAATCGAGACCAAGCCTGATCACAGACAGTGGAGAGGAGCTGAATTGGTGTAAGTACTAATCGCAGTTAACTTTCCCTGATGCTCACGGTGTGACAGGCACTCACATAGGCGTGTCCCGTTTGTTCCCTACCTCAACTCCATGAGGTTCTCTTTTCCCTGTTCTGTCAATGAGGAACCCCAGCTTGGAGAGGTGGTGCAGTCTGCCTGGGGTCACACAGCTGAGTATTGGCCAAGCCCGGCTGTGAGCCCCACTGTTAGCAGACAGCCCTGCAGAGCTCCCCAAATTTGGAGAAAATCCTCCGGGCCCATTCTGCAGCCTTTTTGGGATTGTTGGCTTCGCTGCAGATAAGCTGGAAAAATAAACAAGAGGTTCAGGAAACTCCTTTGCCTCTTGCTGTTCTGAATCTGCTGAGGCCACAGGAGGGTCATCTGGCCGTCTTGACAGCTGACATTAAGCAGGCAAATAAATGAATCTTGAAGATGATAGCAGGACATGTGAAGTACTGCCAACCCCCCCCCCCCAAAAAAAAAACCCTACCAAAAAACAAACAAAATATCAGTAACAGGTTACAGCACTAGTGTGGTGGGACGATTGCTTTAGTCCAGGTGGTCAAATAGGCTTCTCCGCAGTGACAGCTGAGCAGAGGCAGAGGGACCCGGAACGTGATGGAAAGAGTGGGCTGTGCAAGTCTCCCAGGGAAGAATGCTCTGAGCAGAGGGAACGGCATGTACAAAGGCCCTGCAGTGGGACCTCTAGGGAACGATGGGGAGATCAGTGTGGCTGGAGCAGAGTGGGTGAGGGAGAGTTGGGGGCATGAAGCCAGGGAGGTAAAGGCGAGAAGGGGTGGATCATGCTGGTTCTTGAAAGGTCTTGTCAGGACTCTGGCTGATAAGGACAGAAGCCAGGAGAGCAGGGAGGGACAAGAGCTTCTCCAGAGCTCTGCTGGCAAGATGGAATGAAAGGTGCCTAAGCTCACCCGGCACTGAATTGGTGGATACAGGACTAGAACCAGACCTCCTGGGTCTTAGCTTCAGGTTCAGCCCATGGCTTCATAACACTGACATGTGCCAAGCACTCAACAGTTTGCAGTTCCTTTTATTGTCAAACTTTCCTCAATTCCTCACAACAGCCCCAGAGGTAAGCACAAGTCTGCTAAGAAGGTGGGCTCAGAGAGGTTAAGCTAGCTGCCCAAGACTTCCCAGGGTGGGAATAGGGATGGTAGAGGCAGGGGAGCAGAGCAAGGCTGCATTGATGCCCAGGCATTCTAGCCTGAAGCTCCGGTTCTCACCAGCACCCTGGGGTGGTCCCTTGCAGTGGCGCGGGCACAGGGGGCTGGCACCCCAAGCACCAGGTAGCAGTAACAAGGGCTACCACATCCGGAGGCCCTAACATGCACCAGGTAGAGGGCGCATGCTTCACAAGCATCATCTGTCCCCTAAGCAGGTGAGGATGAGGGGACTCCCTGAGGCATCCTTTTACCCCTGCCCAGTAGTTACTGAAGATACTGTAGGGTGCGACATAATCCAGTGCAGCCCTCCGAGCCCAGACCACAGAATGGAAAGCTTCAGGTCTCCGGCACGCCTGGGCTGGGGGATGGGCTGAAGAAGGGTCTGGGGGGGGTGCCCTCCGTATAGGTGGAATGTGGAATGTGGTGGGAAAGCCCCTCCTGACCCCCACACTCCTCCCGTGTTCATCCCCTTCTATCACATTTTCTCCTTCCCACACTGCCCCTTCCTCCCCATCCCTACTTCACTATTTCCCCAGGGTCCCTCGTCTTCCCAGATTTCCTCCTCTCCCTTCCTCAAAGTCCCCTTCCATCTCTCCCACCCCTTTTCCCTCCACACATACAATCTCTTCCTTCCTGCACATCCTGTACTTCTCCCCTCCCCTCCATCACCCCCCAGCCCTCCACATCCCCTCCGCCCCTGGCCACCTCTCTCCCCTTGGTCACCCACCAGCCCTCCACATCCCCTCCACCCCACTCCTCTCCCTCTACCCTCCCCTTCCTCCCACATTTTCCGTCTCGGCCGGAGCGCGGGGGCGGTAAGGGGGTTTTCCCAGAGAACCCCGGGCGGGCCGACCCCTGCGGACCTCGGAGGGTCCCATCCCCCACATCCCACCCCAAAGCTGGCCAGGGTGGGCGGAGTGGGAGGGGCTCGGCGGGTGGGGGCGGGGATCTTTACCTGGGGGTGGGCCAGGCAGCCAGCCCCGCCAGCCCCGCCAGCCCCGCCAGCCCCGCCAGCCCCGCCAGCCCGGCCAGCCCGGCGATGTCCTGGGCTGCGCTCCTCGGCCTCCTGGCCGCGCTGCTGCTGCTGCTGCTGCTCCTGAGCCGCCGCCGCACGCGGTGAGTACCCCGCTCCGCCCAACCTCGCTGGACAAAGGGGGCGTCTCCCGCCTGGGCTGCAGCCCCGGGGTTTCGGAGCCCGCGGCCGGCTTGGCCCGAGTCCAGCCCCAGTATCCCAGGCGGGGCGAGACCCTCGGAGGTGGGAGTCCCGGGGCCCCGCACCCGGGGGAGGGAGCCAGACCGTGTGCGGCCCCTGCCAAGAGCGCGCAAGGTGGGAGATGCGGGGGCCGGTGAGTCCCACGGGCGGATCGCCCACCGCGATAAGTCCGGGTCTGGCCCTTAGCGCGACGGCAGGGACCTGGGAGGGGGTTTCAGGGGAGGACTGAGGGTCTGTGGGCGGACAGCCGCGCGGGGACATCCTCCGCGTGGCCCGGGTGGAAGAAGCGCACTCCACTTTGCAGCCTCTGCCAGCACTCGGCACCCGCCCACTCGCTGTCAAACCCGGCCTTGCTTTCGGCACCCTATAGGGGTAGCCTCACTCCTCAATCCATTACACAGATGGGAGCGTTGAGCCCGCGGAGTGCAGAGCTCCTGGGGGATGTCCTTATCATGCCCTGGAACCATCTTCCCGGAAGAGGGGAGTCTGTGGGCTCAGAAATTTCATTTGCCAGGGAGAAGCTGAGATGTGTGAAGGGTTCTACCTTCCCGTGAGGTCCCACAGCCTGGACAGAGGGAGCCAGGGCCGGATGTCACAGCCTCCTGGTCCTGAAGGTTTTCTGGCTCCATTGAGCAGCTGTGATTTAGGAGAAAAAGTAAAGACTCACAGCCTCAAATTAAGGAGATAGCTATGGTTCTTCTTTTTATAAAATATTTTAAATATTAATTTGAAAAGCACAAGGAATAGCTGAATATATTCGACTTAAAACAAATATTTATCCTGTTAGAGGTAAGACTGAAGCCCTCCCCCAGCCCCTGAAATCTAGTCCTCTCCCCTTCTCTGGGCCTCTCCTGTTGCCCAGTTTGGGTGGAAACTTCCAGATTGAAAAATACATATACTTTTTATTTTAGACTAGTTTGGGATTTACAGAAAGTTGCAAACCTAGTACAAAAAATCCTGTATTTCGCTAACCTCGTTTTCCCTATTGTTAACATCTTACATCGTTATGGGACATTTGTCACGACTAAAAAACCAACACTGGTCATTACTCTTAACGAAACTTCAAACTTTATTGGGATTTTATCAACTTTCCCATTACTGTCCTCTTTTGTTCCAGGATCCCGCCCCAAGTTACCACATTGCCTTTAGTCTTCGTATCTCCTCAGTCTCCCTGATGTTTTAAAAATTACTCTTACATCCACAGACATGAGCTTGTAGCTAATACAGAGCCGCGTAAGAGAGAGAGAGTTAGTTTACATTCGTGTCTGAAAATTCCGGAAACGTTGGGAACTTTTTGATTTTTAAACAATGTTAGTTGACTTTTCGAACAATAAGCTCACTGTATTTTTCTTCACCTTCCAGACACATTTTCAGCTGAAATTTACAACTATGCAATCATTTGCCTTAAAAAAAGAAAAGAAAAACAGTGAATAAATGTCCCCATGAAGAACTGAATTATTTTTCCTGAGTTGTCAGACTTTTTCAATACGCTGCATAGAAATGTTTTCAGACATTACGCTTGTTGTTTCAGTCCAGATTTTAGTTTAGTTTTTTGTTTGTTTGTTTGCTTGTTGTTTTGGAGACTTGCTCTGTTGCCCAAGCTGGAGTGCAGTGGCGTGATTTCGGCTCACTGCAACCTCTGCCTCTTGGGTTCAAGCGATTGTCCTGCCTCAGCCTCCTGAGTAGCTGGGACTACAGGGGCATGCCACCACGCCCAGCTAATTTTTGTATTTTTTAGTACAGACAAGGTTTCACCTTATTGGCCAGGATGATCTTGATCTCTTGACCTCGTGATCTGCCCGCTTCAGCCTCCCAAAGTGCTGGGATTACAGCCGTGAGCCACGGCGCCCGGTGCAGATTTGTTTTGACATCCGTTCTTTTTTCTGTAAGAAGATCTTCTTGATACATGGAGATGAAATCCATTCTTTCGATCCTCTCTGGAGTCTTCCAGCATGTGCATACGTTGTGGCCTCTTTTGTCCTTTTGACGTTCTCTAGGTTGTTTCCAGTGTTTCTGCTACTTCAGAGTGCTGCATTCTCACTTGGGCTGGAGTGCAGTGGCGTAATCTCCGCTCACTGCGACTTCTGCCTTTTTGGCTTCAGCGATCCTCCTGCCTCACCCTCCCAAGTAGCTGGGACTACAGGCATGTGCCACCATGCCCAGCTAACTTTTGTATTGTTAGTACAGGGGAGGGTTTCGCCATGTTGGCCAGGCTGGTCTTGAGCTCCTGACCTGAAGTCATTTGCCCACCTCAGCCTCCCAAAGTTCTGGGATTACAGGTGTGTACTTCTGGCCTTCTCCCCTCCCCTCCATCACCCTCCAGCCCTCCACATCTCCCTCCACCCCCCAGCCTATCTCCATGCCCGGTCTGGCATTCCAAACATATGAAAATTCCCAACCTATGGAAATATGGTCAAGTTGAGTAACTGTTCTCTGCCTCAGTTTCCCAATCTTTAAAATGGAGATTTTAAAGATTGGGAAACTGAGGCAGAGACAGTTTTTAAATTATTTTGGCTAGTTCTTGCTGACTGTCAATCTGGAGAGCAGATTTATCTTTGAGGGTGAGCCTTTTTTTGAGACGGAGTTTCACTCTTGTTGCCCAAGCT